AGGGCGCCGGCCCGGCGCTGGAGCGCTTTTCTTGGCGAGGGAGGGAGGGATGGGACTTGGGTCCTTAGGGAAGGATGGTACGGTGTGTGGAAGGATGTGGGGCTCGGTGCGTGATTAAAAGGTGAGTGTGATCTTGTGAAAACTTGTATCAGAAATGCTGTTCCCGCCTGTTTTATGTCCGGTTTGGGATAGCTTGTCCCCTTTCTACTTGGTCGGATGTCACGTTCACGTCCACCTTGCAGCTGGTGTGCCGCCTGTGGCATTGGGAGGCAAAGTTGTTAAAACCTTGTGAGGGTAAAAAGAAGGCAAGGGTGGTCCTCCCTTTGGTGGTGCAGTCTTTCCAACTTGGGGTGCTACTGCAAGTTCTCTAAGTTAGGAGAAGGTGTGCTCTTTTTTGAAGATACAAACAAGAACTGTTTCTTTAACTTTAAAGCAACTATTGGCTGTTAAAACAGACTTACTAACAAACAGCATTTATTTTAAATAGCAAAAGCTTTCTTCTGTTGGCACACTTGCTTCCAAGGTTAAAATGTAGTAGAGTCTGGTAACATAAAAACAGGTTTTTGTACAGTCAAATGCAAAGTTGGTTCTTAAATTTTTGAGAGACTTTCATGAAGGATGTAAATGTTATATAGAAATATAATTGCAATATTGTGCTAAAACTTGCAATCACAGTATTTGTATTGTGAAATACAAAAGTAGGTTTATTTATTAACCATTTCTGTAGAGATATCAATAAGGTTTTTGGTTGCCTCAGTAAATGCACATGAGGAGATGGTTATGAAAACTTCTGTCACTAATAATAGCAGTTAAACTTTTAAGTAACAGCATTGTTGGAAGTCGTGTGCTGTAGACATGAATTTTCTTCCATCTGTAGTGGTGCAGGCTGAAGATGTTGTGACTCATGCTGAACCATGTTAGCAAAGAATTGCCATTTGGATTGTGACCTTTTTCACAGGTTCATTTCTACTGACATGGATTGGGATGCTCACATGAGCAGCTCAGATGGCAGACTTGAGGTGGTAGGGGACCCTGTGATGAGCAAGTAGGGGCTATAGTCTATATATCTGACTTTCAGTTAGAAGATAATGAGAGTCCACAGCGTGAGTGCAAATGTGTTTGCTCCTTGCATTTTTAGTGTAGTGTAAGTACCATTCAGAGTTTGCATTGTTGGTATGGCATCAACAAACATCTGCAGCCAATTTGCACTAGGGCTGCCAGCATCACTGTTTTTAACAGAATTATCTAACAGTAAGGAACCAGAGGAGAAATGTAGGTAATGTCCGCAGTGTTGACAGGGCTAATGTGTAAGTGATTCCATAGAGAAGAAACTGCACTGCTTCCGTTATTCTCAAACTCCTCTGAAAGATTTGTGGTCCCCTGAGTAGTGCATCTTTTCACGTAATTCTCACTAGACTTATATAATTCATAAGTATTGGGGTTTTTTTTCTATACTTCTTAGTGTAAGCCTTGCACTGTGGTGTTATATCACCTTCCTGCTCTTTTTTGCCCTTTTGAGAAGGAACTGATGATTTTCTCTCACTGAAGTTCCAGCTGTAGTCAGGAAGTGGAGCAAGGGGCTGAAGAGCCAGCAAAACTTGAAAGTGGTTAGGTAGGAGGTAGCTGATATGGAATACCACTGTCTGTAGCATTTGTTATGATCTTGTTGGTTCCATGTGCTTTTCTGTCTTGTTTTGTTACCATTTTACAGTTCTGTTTTCCATGGAGGGCCGCAGGTGACATATTTTGTGTGCATCACCAGACTTGCTGCTTGCATTCACAGAGGGCTGAATTTTGTTATGTGTGTTGAAGAGAACAATAGTACACAAGCTGGATGGGGAGAAAACTTGGATCTTCAGAGTTCTGATGACAAATAAAAAGGAAGTACTACTCTGTTTCTAAGTTCCAAGCAAAATTACAAAGCTTGCAAATTGGAGCATATTTTTTCCTTTTTTTATTAATGAGCAAATTAAGTCATTAATACATAAGGCATTTGTTCAGTAGCTTCACAAGGAATGAGGACAAGTAAAATTATGTAGTAAATGAACTGAGGGTGTATTTTGAGTTTTGTGTAGGCTGTTTGAATGAAAAGCTTGAACTTGTGGTTAACAGTCTTGGAAACATTTTAATATCTGTGTGGTTTTACTTGGAAAATGGAGTGGATTCAGAGTACTAATATGGTGTGTTTGAGTTTAAATGCAGACTTCATTTGGATTTTGGTGGAAGTTAAAATTGAGTGGAGGTTAACCAGGGTTTTTTTGTTGTTTTTTTCTTTTTCAGTCAAAGTGGTAGTGTCAAAACAGCCAGAAGAAGATACCCATTTTCTAGCTTTTCTGCTTTTTTGTAACATATTCCTAGACTAATTGGTTTTTCTCTTCTTAACTGTACACCATAAAGTATTAGAGACTGTTAAATGCTAGAATATTGACATGTGATGTGGACTTTTTTTTATTATTTTGCACAGATAAAAGGAAAAAGGACACAACCAAATTTCGAAGCTTTAGGTATGGCACCAATGGAAGAAGAGTATTTTAGTGATTCAATGAAAGCTAACCTATTGGCATTCAAAGCTAATAGGGCAAAGATAAGATATGCTAATACATACAGACTGGAGTCACATAATAAATTTCGGGATTATTTAGTAAGAGACAAAGCTCAAGCAATATTAACGGTATAGTATTTTTTTAAATTAATTGTCTAATTTTATTGCAAAAGTAGTTTGTTTTGCAAAGATTATATTAATGGAACAGTGTAAGTTGCATAAACTTAAACATATGCATAAGTCTTTGCAGACTTGAAGTTTTGGCACACAAATGTAATGTGAATATGCTCTGTTTTGCAAAGTGCAGAAGGCCCTCTGCAAGGTTGCCACTGAGCATGTGCTATTAAGATGGAGCTGAAGCTTCTTAAACTCTTACCCATTTCTAAATCAAATTGAGCTATATCACAGTTCAAAGTACCCTACTCTGCAAAATGACCAGTTGTGCAAAGACCCTGACCTTGAATTTGTGGAATGCTACTCCTTCAATTGGTTCTACTAATATCACATGACCTGCATAAAATATACTTGGTGTCCTTGACAGTCTGACTGCCAGATACAAAAATTAAGCAAATATGAGGGAGAACAATCTGTTGAGATAATATGTAGCTGTTACTGATACCTTGAATTGTTATTATCAAGTCTTATAGTTCTGTTGTCTGGAAGATATGTCTCGGATATTTGGAACAGGTATTTGTGGCACTATTTTCCAGTGAACTGAGCCCAAATGATGGATAAGAATACACTCCTGTTTGACAAACATGGCCAGCCAATCTCCATTTAACAATTTCAAAAAATAGGTAAAACATTTTAGGGTAAAAATAGTGCAGCTTTTGCTGTTCGAGAGGATAATCTGCATTGACTATTCTACTCATTAGTTCATCTAATGTTCTTGTAATGGAAATGACTGTAAAAGTTTTTTTTGCAAAAGACCACCAGGGTGAAAACTAAGATCTTTCAAAATTGTTTTTTAATAGAATAAACTTCAACAAGCCAAATACGGCGGAGTTTCTAGTCCCTCCTTGTGTGCTTCAATCTCAGAAGAAATATTAAAGGCTGTGAAGGAATTGGACTTTGACCGTTATAAGTATGTGGTATCAGTACTAATTGTCGAAAAGGCAGGTCAGGCAATAAATGTGAGCAAATATATTATTCATAATATCTTTTGCAAATGGAAGAGACTTTTTAGAACTGTATGTTATCTATTAGGTGTTCACCCACATTCAGCAGCTTAACTAGTTTGAGGTGGTCTTGAAGACTTTGGGTTCTTTATGGGGAGTTGTATGCTGGGTGGCCATTTAAGGTACTGCTGTGATTCTGCCTAACACTGTAACCGTTGTCTTCTTTCTGAGTTCAGTAACAGTGGTAAGCAGCCCATGCTGCTCTTCCCTGTTCAACCAGTTATTTCTGCTGTGTACTGTGCCAGTACAATTGCATGACTGGTGTGAATTTTCTTTTTCTTCTTCCAACATGCTTTGATCTCCACAGGGTCATCATATTCAGCACAAAATGCTGTGGAGTTGTAGTGTGGGGTGACGTCGAAAGGAATGGGTGGCAAGGAAAGGGCTGAAAACTGTTTCAACCGTAGCTGCCAACAAACATGCTCCTGGGACTACAAATTAATACTAGTGATCTGAACTTGGCACACCCAAAAGAAAAGTATTCTAGACATTCCTGTGTTGCATATAAATTTACATGTATGGCAAGCTCCCATTGGCATTTGGAACGCATTTAGGTATCTTGCTGAGAGTCAGAGAGCATTTCTATTTAGGAGCATTCATCATCAGCTCTTAAAACCTGATGAAACCATACCTGCTTTCAGTGGGTTACGTGAAACAATGTTTGAAGGGTGGTCGGCTTCAGTAATGAAGCCAGTCTTGAGGGGCCCGCATCTACCTACTTTTCTGGTGCTGTCTCGCAGTACGCTGCCTCTGTGGTTGTGCTTTGGCTGAGGAGCTGTAGGTTAAAATGGATTACCAAAATGGTCTGAGTTAACTTTTTTCTTCCTGAGGAATATGTTTATTCCAGCAGTCAAGTCACACATTTTATCTTTGAAAACAGTTTTATCAAAAAAGCTGAGAGCCCAGTAAATGGTCTCAAGTAGACTGGAGTAAGCTGGAGGTGACAGAGTGGGGACGTGAATTCTTAGTTGTGTATGTTCCCAAAACTAATGTCTATTCATGTTGGTTTTGAAGGGGTGCTGTTACAGTACGCTAAAGTGCTAACAAGTCAACATGAGAGAGAACAGAGGTTTTGGTGTAGAGATTTTTTGATCTGTTGGTGTGGAAGATTTACTGTGAAGCAAGAGCATGTATTTTAACATTGAATAGGACTTGTTCATTTTCACTGTAATTTTGCAGTTGTTACTACTTGTAACTCTCATAATGCAATTATATCAGTATTTATATAATGCTGTGTGTTCTTTTAAAAAAAAAATGCAAAACCTTTGCTGTTTATAGATTCACAAATAGCTTTTTCTTTTCTTTCCTTTAGGTTGCCAGCAGATGGGTCTGGGATGTTCAAAGAGACACTTGGGTTTCGGCTAAATGTGAAACTGAAACATTTATTGCACTGGCTTTGGTAATGGCTTGTTATTATGAGTAATACTCTAAAAGCCCCACCTGGTTTTGTGCATCACAGTACCTGGTATATTTGAAAATTTTCAGAATGTCATTATTTTAGTACTAGTTTTTGTCCTAATGCTGTTGGCACATTAAAATTTACTTACAGTTGAGATAATTTTGCTCATTTTTCTCTGGTAAAAACAGGAAAAAAACAAACCCAAGAAAACACTTTTGAAATGTGTATGGTTGAGTACATATGGGCTTCATCTGTCCTAACACTCTGCTGTGGAAGTTGAAGCAGCTGGTATAAGGCCAAACTTTGCAAATTTTGAATGTTGCTGGTCTGTTGCATGCCTAGAGTTGTTAACAAATGTTTACAATAAATCACAGGTATCGATATTCGTAAAAGCATGCTCTTTGTAAGAAAAGGCAGTGTTCATTTTTTTGCTAGGTGTATCTTTGATAAAATGCTGATCTGTGTAGAAACCTGGCTGGGAGGGAAGCTGTGTTTTGCACACTTAGAAATTTGTGCAAATTTCCAATCATTTGTCTTGAATGCAGCGTGAGTTGGGTCATTTAGCTTCCCTGAGCCTTAAACTCACATTAAATACCAACTGCATGCAGGCCAGTGGCTACGGGCTGAATGGGGCAAGTTTGATCATTTCAGTGGAGCGGCTTCTGACAGCCGCGGCAGGAGGATGACAAGGCCGGCAACGAGGCTATCGATAACTGGTTCGTAATCGGCAAGGACAGCAATGACTGTGTTGTGAACAATAAAGACACTGGCAGATCTGTGAAGCGCGTAGACGTCCGCTTTCGGAGCTGCCGTGCGTGGAAGCAGCGCGCCGGTACCTTGCCCGCGCCGGCTGTGTGTTCAAGAGCTGAAAACGGG